GGGAGCTCGCGGAGGAAAAGTGTGAGCGCCGGGAGGAGCGCCTAGACACCAGTGCCCATTAAGGTATTTTAAGATAAAGGGATGGGAAGAGTAAGGGGTCCCGGGAACGGAGGCGGCAAAGAAAGGTGGGGTTGGAACGATCAGAGAAGAGGCCGGCCAATTGGCTGCTAGGGCTTGGTAGAGGTAAAAGTGGTAGGGCTGAAATGGGGCTTATAAAGAATAGGGGAGGGAGGCTGGAGTGGTCAGAGGGGTGGGTATGAGGCCTTGAAGGAGGCCAGGGCCAGAGGGATCCTGCAGCGAAGGTAGAGGGAGTGGTCGGCAAGACCGGGTCTAAAGCTGCAGGTAGACCGTTGCTCTGAGCTTGGTGGTCCGGGAACTTTAGGGGAAATGGGGGAGGGGGACCGTGTGAATAGATGAAGTGGTTTAACGATTTCTGAGACATAGTTCTATAAATGTAGGCAGGTGGTATTATTTGGATCAACTGACTGCTTTAGGGACTGGGGAAAGATGGGCTCTTTGGGGGACGGTGTGTGTATTGAGTTGTAGAACTGAGTCATCTCAGTCTTACTAAAAAGGCTATGAGACACCTCCCCCTCTTTTGGGGACAGCATATAGAGAAGATGGTGCCACCAGACAAGAAGGAGTTGTTAGTGACTGGAAGGACTTGGTTGAAAAATTTTTTCTCTTGTTATTCACTGTAATGATTATAAGGGAACTTCAAATGGCCAATGGATTATATGCTTTATTCTTTGTTTAGTTTTCTTTGTCCCAACTTGTTTTTATTTTAAACAAATACTTTTGTCAAGTGGATTTAATGTGATGGGAATCTTTTCATGCTTTGTTACACCGTAAGAAGAGCTGAAGCACAATGAAAGTATATTACACAGGCGTACCTCACTTTCTAAAGTGCCAAGAGAGGAAGTAAAGGCTGTAAGGGGCAAATTGGAATTTGAATAGTTCACAGAATACAAAAGGCAAAAAACAGTGCTTCTAAGATAAACAGAAAATGAGAATTTTTATTTCTCCTTTTTTTTTTTTGCCTAACTTCAAAAATTGTACCTGTTTAACTCATGAAAGATATTTATTCATAAATCCAAGCAGTTATTACTGCTAGAGATGTGATTACATCCCCAAGAATTTTAAAAGATGCTAAAGACATACAGGGCCCCCCCTTTTTCCTACCCAATCCTAAAACACTAGAACAATGCAAATATCAAGTCCTAACCTGTGCAATGCAGCTTCTTCTTTCATGTAATGAGAAAATTGTACGCCATGTTGCAAGTCCTGTTCGCCTAAAATTTGGCTGTGCACAGTAATCAGTTCAGTTATTCATCCTTCACTGTGCTGTGAGGTTTTTCAGGGGTGGGTGCTGGGGGGGGCGGGCACTTCGGGAGGACAGGGTGTGAAAGGGGTGTGTGTGTTTGGAGACTGATTGGTAAGAATGCTGATAAACCTGCCCCCAGAGTACTTTCAGCCTGAAAGCCCTTTTTGTATTTGTCATAGAATATCATAGTAGAAGTGAGTCAGAAAGAAAGGGGATGTGAAGAGGTTGAGTTGGCCACTTACAAAAAGAAGCAGCATTAACTTATTGTTTAGAAGATATTGATACTGTTTCAAATTAATTAACTAAAATCTCCAGAGGAATTCCCCATTTGTTTTTGAGTGACCATTGCAATTTGAGATTCTTGCCTCCTTGTGCATCTTTTCTTTTGTACTGTTGGAGTTGAATTCTTTTTGAGGCTGTAATGTTCAGATAGCATGACTCGGTCCACTCATGAAGCAGGCTGGCAATTTGATTTTGGAAATTTGAAGAGTTTAAATCCAAGAGCAGTTTGCTTGGTCTTAACTTTTCAATGAGAAAAGTTATTCTGTCTGCCCACTAACTGTGTCTGGTCTACTTAGTAATATCTTTCTGGGATGGGACTGGGAACATAGGTAGTGTACTCTTTTGTGGGCAGATCCTTCCTACCCTTTATTGTTATGGTTTTCATAGTCACAGCCTCTATACAATGCAAACCCAATTGCCTTTTCAGTAATAAACAGATTAATGTTTGAGAATATTGAGATCAAACATAGACGTTAACAGACTACGTATCTTCTGGGTTTATTTCTTTTTAAACCTCAGCCGTGCACCACTAGCAAGCAAAGGAGCCCTGGTGGCACAATAGTTAAGTGCTTGGCTGCTAACCAAGAGGTCAGTGGTTCCAACCCACTAGCTTCTCTGCAGGAGAAAGATGTGGCAGTCTGCTACTTAAAACATTATAGCCTTGGAAACCCTATGGGGCAGTTCTGCCCTGTCCTAGTAGGTCACTATAAGTTGGAATCGACTGATGGCAGTGGGCCTGAGCTTCATCCTATATTTCCCCTCTTAAATTCTGTTCCTCTTTTCTCAGCCTTTCCTCCCTACCCTCCCCAAAACCCCCACCACTAAGTCATCTGAAAACTCAGGTGTGGTGAGATTAAGGCTACTTTCAAAACTCATGGCCCTTTGCTGGAGAAAGGAGAGCCTTTTTATACCTGTTTTACAGTTTCTGTTTTTTCCTCCTCTGTGGTTTCTGTTAATCACTTAAGGTTCAGACACAGTGTGCCTGCTGGGCTGTGCCCAGGTTCATAGCCATGCCAATCAGTGGGTGAAGCTTGAGGCAGCGATGGAGTCACTGCAGCAGCAGCAGCAGCAGCAGAAGCAGCAGCACCAGCAGAAGCAACCACACCTGGCATCTTTGCAAATGGATGCCCGGGAGAAGCAGGGACAGCAAATGAGAGAAGCCCAGTTCTTGTATGCCCAGAAGCTGGTCACACAGCCAGCTCTCCTTTCTGCCACACCTGGAAGGCCTTCTCCCAGCCCTGTCTTGAATCCCTTAGGCAGAGTTCCATCGGCCACAGCAGTCCCCCGAGTTTTTGAAAGAAGCAGTGTGAACTCAGAGCCTGAGGAAGAGGAAGGAGATTTGGAAGATGAGGATGGGGATGATGAAGATGCAGAGGTGGCTGAGAAAGGGACACAGACTGCTTCAAAATATTCACATGCGGAGAAAGCAGCTCACCAAGATCCCAGAGCAGCGCCCATGTCCAGTCTCATTCCAGCACCAGGGCTCCCGCCTCACGGACCACAGACTAAAGAAGACCATACCAAAGATGCTTCCAAGGCCCCACCTTCAGTCTCCACATCTGGGCAGCCGAGCTGGAATCTGGATGAACAACTCAAGCAGGTCAGTTTTTCTGGTGTGGGAGGTCATTTGTTCTTTCTTAAGATGGGCCAGAGGGGTACTGGAATGCCAGGCACAGTGGCTATGCCAGGCTCTGCCTTCTCTCCCACTTCTGATGACCAACAACCAAGACAGAAATAGATGCTGACATTTTTTCTCACTTAACCTATGTTTTATTAAGTAAAGCTTCAATCTCTCTTTTTTTTTTAAAAGAAGAATGAGGTTGCAGCAATGGTGTGAGGATTGTCTGAAAATCATATGTGTGCTTTTAAGTACAGTTTTCCTAATAATCATATAAAGGAACAGTCTTGCCTAAGTAGTCTGCTGTTTAAGGCAGTTTGTTGTTTTGCAGCTAAAATAGCTGATAGGAAGTACTTACACTTTGTATGTTTCCTACCAAGAGCCTGTTCGACATGAATTCATTTCACTCTTATATCATTCTTTTTGAAATAAGGAAGAGTAGGCCTCAAAACACTCTTTTTATCCAAGCGAAGCTTAAGTGATTTCCAAGCATCACGGAGCATCAGAGTCATTTAGGGAGCTTTTTTTTTTTTTAGGATTTGGGTGAAGATTTACAGAGTAAATTCACTTTTCATACAGCAGTTCACATATACTTTGTCTCATGTCATTGACCAAAATTTACAATGCAGCAGCTCCCCTCCCACTTCCTCCCCATAGTTACCTCCTCCCAGTGTCCATCCCTTCATACTCTTCTGCACCCTGAGCTATCTCCCTGTGCATAAGCAGCCCTTCCTTCTCCCATGATTGTTTTCTCCAGGGCATGTGTCTACTTGAGGTAAATGTTTAACTCACATGCCTGTACTTTGTTTGGCTGGAAACCACAGTTGTGGGTTCAATTCCAGACCTGAAGGGCAACTAGGGGCCATAGTCTCAGTGGTTACACCAGGCTCCATTGGACCAGCAAACCTGGTCCCCACCTTCTTCTTTTTTTTTTTTGCCTCCAAACGATTTTGAGTTTTGTACCACATTGTTCTCCCTCTTTATGTAGGATCTCCTACATCATTTAGGGAGCTTTTTATTGTATTTATTTATTTATTTATTTTAGGGAGCTTTTTAAAAAAATACAGATTTTTGGGCCCTAATGAAATAGCTCAAGGTATGGAGCCTAGGGAATCAATGTTTTCAGCCAGGGCTTTCTCATTCTTCTCTTGTTGATCAACAGTACAGTTTTTCTTCTCTCAAAGAATGGAAGTGATGATAACTTATTTCAGGGTAGTGACTTGTGGAGCTTAGATGGGGAGTTCATAGTAAAGCCAGCACTCCCCATAAACACATTCTTCATATGGCTCCATGGTGCTGTGTAGAAATTAGTCATGAAGTGCTGAGACGTCGTATAAGAAAGGTCCTTGTTGTTGGTGGTGTTATGTGCCGTCAAGTCCTACCCAACTTAGCGACCCCTCCTTGGGTTTCTGAGGCAGTATCACTACGGAAGTAGATTGCCCTATCTTCCTTCTGAGGAGTGGCTGGTGGGTTTGAACCACTAGTCGTCTGGTTAGCAGTCAAGTGCCTTAGGTACTGCGCTACCAGAGCTCCCAGAAAGGTCCTTAGGCACCTAAAAAATTCTGCATCTTTGGACCAAAGAGCCCCATACAGTTGACTGAGTTTTACAACAGTGGCAACTGTAGTAGATTCTAAAGACAGAGAAGTAGGGTTCAAATCCCTCACTCTTCCATTTACTACCCTTGGGCTCTTAACTGATCTAAGCCTGGATCTTTTCATCTGTGAAATAAAAATAATGAAGTGTGGCTCCCAAGGATGTTGGTGAGGATTAACTGACCTAACACATCAAAGTCTATTCAAAAACAGGTACATGGTAGGTGCTGGTGGAAGTGATGGTTGTGTGTCTTCGAGTAAATTCCAACTCATTATGACCCTGTATGACAGAGTAAAACTGCCCCATAGGGTTTCCTAAGCTGTAGTCTTTACAGGAACAGATCACCAAGTCTAGAGCTGCTGGTGGGTTTGAACTTCCATCCTTTTGTTTAGCAACTGAGCACTTAACCACTTACCACCATTCATCTGGATGCCATCCTCTCCTACCTCCACATAGACATGCGTCTGAAGAAGGGAAGACACTGAGATGCACAAAGGTTTTCCCTCGGTCCGAGGGAAGTAGTCACAGAGCTAGGACTAGGACCAGAGAATACCAACTTCTGTGACAGCAGTACCCTGGCCACCAGCCCAGACCCGCCTCCTGGCTGATGACTTTGGTTTAGCAAAACATCTGTGAGTTGCTGGCAGCCCCCGCATTGCTGTGTGGTTGGCAGCGTTCCATGCCGGCCGCTGAATCAGCTCATAGCAGCATCCCGCCCTGACAGCACTGGGAAAGTTCAGGCCCGAGGCGGCTGGGCTGCCCCCACCTTGGCAGCTGGCCAGCTTCTGTGTCTGTGCGGTTGTTCCTAGAAAGTGCAGCTGCGTGCAAGGAACAAGTGGAGTTCCAGAGACTGTCTGTCTTCAGGAAGTGCAGCAGGTGTTGAGGTCAAGCCATTAGGGCTTTGAAAAGAGCAGCTCTTCAGAGCTGGCGTGTGCACACGTGTGGGCAGTGGCAGAGCACCCAGTGCTGTGTTCTCGATGACAGCAGCCCCGTGGCTGCACAGCTCGTGCTTGGGGCTGACTGGCTGCTTTGAAACCCATCAAGTTCATTTCAGGTTTCTGAGGTGTACTTACCATAACAGACTGACTTACTGACAGAGCACCTGCCAAAATGTTTTGTGTCAGTATAGATGAGACCTAAATCCCTCACCTTAAGTTTCCTTTCTCCTAGGACATCATTTTGGAACAATAATTTAAGACCTTATATGTGCACCTCCTTTTTCCATCTTGAATTTAATTTTCAAAATCAATTCTATTGGTGCTCTCCTTCCTTGTCTAAATCTTGCTTCTGAAGGAGTAAATACCATGCTTTAGAATTTTTTAAATTTTAGTTTTTAGTTGTGTTTGGACTGGAGGCTACCAAATACACATATCCTGGGAAAGCATATAGAAACCATGAACCATGAAAGGAGCTTTTTTTTGGGGGGGTGCTGTTATAGTTCAAAGGCCTTTTTTTTTTTTTTTAATCTCTGTGCAGTTAAACTCTTAGAGAGTAGTAAGAGTATCCCTTGCTCCAGCAACAGTTACAAAGATCTTTTACAATTGACACAAAATGATCTTTTTGACAGGTACAAGCATCCATTTTGTTCTTTTAAACATTTTACAGAGCACTGCTTTGTGCCAGGCCTGTATTCCATGGACTAAGGCAGACTTCTCCCTCGAGGAGCTCATAGTCTAGTGGAGGCAGGGTAGAAACCTCAAAGGGAATTGGGCCTTGGGTTGCAATAACCTGATTTTGTCCTGTGTCTGCTGAAGTCTCACTGCCAGGTCAGTGCCATGGTGCAGATGTTTTAAAACAGGGTTTTGTTTCAGACACCAAGGCTTAGTACAAAAGTTAATTTCATCTACAGCATAGCTTAGTAAACCAACAAGGAGTCTCAAAAGTATATTTGAGAGAGAGAGAGAGAAGTGAAAAAGCACCTGCTAACTGAAAAAAAAAAAAATACCTTTTGCTTTCCAAATCCCTGTCTTAACACATGTAAAGACAAAATTATTTCATGGATTCTCTTTGAAGAACTTCTTAGGAAACATTTGCTTCTCAAATTCTGATTGTTAGAAAGAATGTATTATTTTCTAACATTAGAGTGATAGGAAGATGAATAATACTGTTGAGCCAAGCATTCTAAAGCCCATCAGATTTCGATGGGCAGAGTAAATAATTGTAAAACAAGACAACAGACAAAGAGGAGAGAGTCCCTCCTCTCCAGGGAGATGGATAGAGCCCTGTCAGCACACAGCTAACTGGGCGGTGTTGCTGGCCTGTTAAAGATGGTTTTCTGTCCTCTCAGGAAACAGGCTGGTTAGGCAGTACAGGCTTTGTCTGTCTTGAGCCCATTAGTGAAATCAGACTTCCAGAAGGACATAGACTCCCTCAATAGAAGAAAAAGATAAGTGTGGGGCCATAGAGTATGTCTGATTTTCTGCATACTTTGGCAGTCTCTTTGGTTACTGAGTGTGGGAAGAAGGTATGACTAGCTGCTTGTTCTCCAGAATCTATTGCCAAGAGTCCTTCTAAGGAGTAAGGCATAGTCCCTTGGGTTAAGCCTACTTTTCTTGGTACATACTGCTTGTCTTGGGAACATTTGAACCTATTTATAAAAATTGTGCAAGCTATTACTTAGGGAAAAAATGGTCATAGGCTTTCCCCACTTTTTCTGCAAGGATCTCTTTCATGCCCTTGGCTTCTATGATCACAGTGAAATACCTATAGATCAGTGATTAACAAGTCAGGGCAATTCCTGCCCCCCTTTGAGGACATTTGATAATGAATGTCAGGAGGCATTGTGTTGTCAAAATTGGGGATGGGGAGATTTGTTACTGGCGTCTACTGGGTAGAGGCCAGGGATGCTGCTATATATCCTATAATGCATAAGACATCCCCTCCCCCCAACAAAGAATTATCCTGTCCAAAATGTGACTAGTACCAAGGCTGAGAAACCCCACTTTAGATTTTCTAATTAGAAGGAGGGTGTGTCCTGTGCTTTTGTCAGACACTGCCCTAGGGTTTCTACAACCTCCATCCTTTTTTGCTTCAGTCTTAGTAACTGCTTGAGGAGTTTAGCAACTTTGAGTTTTCATCACTTCTGTTTTCAAAATCAGTGTTGAGTTCGTGTCTTCCTTCTATAGTCATCTGAGTGAAGAGACACTCACTGGGGGAGAGAATTGGGACTTAGAACTTGAGATCTCTTACTAGACTCTACCAGCAGTCCTTCCAGCCAGCCTGCCTTCTCTGATATCTAGGGTGATTTGTGAGAGAGCTAGATTGCCCTTCTAAAATATTAACTCTAGAAGGCTATGGGAGTTAATACTTGGTAAACTTGTTACTTAGTAACAGATGTAATTATTAAGTCAGCATTGGTTTTGGAGCCAAGCTGTGTGGATTTAGAGCC